AAAAAAAAAAAAAAAAAAAAAGCATAAGGAACATATGGCTGGAAGGGACCTCAGGAAGTCATCAGGCCCAACCCCCTGTCTCTCCTCCCTCACCATTTCATGGCAGGACTTTGTTTCTAAACCATGCCAAGCAAATGTTTGGAAGTTTAAGTGCTGGTTGCTTTGAAGTTAGGGAGGGAGATTCCCTAACCTCTCTTCGAAATCTGTTTCAGTGCTTAGCTACCCTCACAGTCACAAATTTCTTCCTAATATCTAACCTATATCTCCCTTTCTGTAAACGTACTTACTACTACTACTACCATGGGGCTCGTTTTCTGTGGATACAAAGCAGTTAATTGCCATCTGCATCGTAACGATGCTTTTCATTGAAAGCCAGTTATCAAATCCCTCTATCTAATCTTCTCTAGACTACACTGTTTCAGTTCTTCCATCCTGCTCTCCTACATTGTTTTGTAGACCTCCCTTTTTGTTGCTGTCCCTGGGGCTCTTTCCAGTTTGTCCATCTCTGTCTTGAAGTGCAGTTCCAAAACCAAATGCAGCTTTGGAGGTGAGACTTCACTGTCGCAGAAGTGTGGAAGAATCACTTTCTATGACCTGTGTGTTAGCATCTGCGATGCATTACCAGGGGTTATTACTTTTATATTTTTTGCAACAATATTATTCACCTTGCAATCCACTATATCATTGGCTGTGGAATAGTTGCTTCCCATCTCATATTTGTGCATTTGCCTGTTCCTTCCTACGTGTAACAATTGGCACTAACCCTTATTGAATTTGATCCTGTTTCAGAGTAATTTTTTCCTATTTGTCAAGGTTATTTCAGTTCCCAGTCTCATACTTCAAAACCGTGTGGCCAACCTTTTTGGCAAGCATGCCGCTGGCTAAGTCCAAAGTATGAGAGAGTGCCACTGTAATAATCAGCCAGACATGGCAACCGTGAACGTGTGGCCTTTACCTTCACAGCTCCTGTGGGGCCAAACCTTTGAGCCAGTATTGATCCCTGCCTCATTTTAACTGTCTCCATCGCCTCCCTGATCTGCCACTTGCCACACAGGCTGCCCATGCCATTTCTGGTATGCATGCAGTGCAGTTGACCACCACTGATCTAAATTGTCTACCCTGGGAGGGCGTCGTGTAGACTCAGTACTTTTACATTCAGTTCAGTCTTCTAAATCATTAGTGAAGCTTTTGAACAATACTAAACCCAGGACAGGCTGCTGGGTACACCCAGCTGAAACCTTTCCAGCTCTTTTTTTCAGCAAATAGTAAAGGAATGGCTGGCCAATAATCATCCAGAGAGTGGTGGTGGACGGGTCATGTTTGACCTGGAGGGATGTGGGCAGTGGGGTTCCGCAGGGCTCGGTCCTCAGGCCTGCACTGTTCAACATCTTCATCAGTGACTTGGACGAGGGGGTAAAAAGCACCCTGCTCAAATTTGCTGATGGCACTAAGATGTGGGGGGATGTGGGCACGCTAGAAGGGAGGAATAGGCTGCAATCGGACCTAG